CAAACAGGAGTCGTGGTGCTGAGCCTGGTACCTGTTTTGGGGTAAGCTCTGATCCGAGTTTGCTGTTCTCACAGGATCATACTATTTCATGTGCTTCTCAGGTCAACTCCACGCAGTAAGAACCATTAGGCCCATTTTCACAGGGAAGGGAATTGAAGCTGAGTATGCCAGGGTCACAGAGCAGGGTTCGAACCTCGTCTGATCAACTCCTTCCAGTCTCTCAAACAAGGCTAGATGCCCCCTCTGACCCATAACTTGCTCAAAGGGGGCTGGGCCCTAGAGAGGTGGGCTGACAAGGCCAGGAGAGGTCAGCCTCCTGCCCCCACCACTTTTCCGATGAAGAAACCAGGTCCCAAGGAGGGAAGTGGCTTGCTTGGGGCCTTGATCTCTGTGGCCAGTCCCTGCAGCCACCAGAGTGATTGGGGGGCTGGGGTTGTGGCTCAGTGGTCAAGCACTTGCCTAGCACGTGTGAGGTCCTGGGTTTGTTTCTCAGCCCCGCATGTAAATACATGAATAAAATAAAGGTCTATCAACATCTAAAAATATATGTGTGTGTGTGTGTAGCCATAGGGGCAGGAAAAGGAGGAAGTGGTGGTAGATATGGAGGCTGCTTCTCTACCCAGCCACTGGGGAACGCTAGGCCCAGGCCGGCTCACAGGCCTAACATGGCACACCCCCAGGTCCACCCTGAGAAGGGGGCTGGGGGGCTGTCCAGGCAGGACAGGGACTTAGCCACTGCCCCTCCAGGCTGTGTGGGAGCATGCTCCTCCCACCCTAAGCACATCCTTGGGACAGAGCCTTGGGGGGTTTCCTGGAGCCCAGGGTGGCCACACACCAGGATGACAAGGCCAGCGTCACATCTGGCTCTAGTGGGCCTCCCTGAGGAGCGGACTGTGGCTGCTCATCACCTGGCACCCCTAGCCTGGAGCACGTCCCCACCCCACCCCATGCCACATGGCTGGGTATGGCTTCTGTCCCCCTACTCCAGGCAGTGCTTCTCTGCCCCAGCCTGGCACAGAGCTGGCCCACAGCCCATGGTGACTAAATTATAGTCTGAGATACAAACTAACTCTGAGGTAATTGAGTAATTGTTGTCAAAAGTTATCTTTTTAAAATAACTTGTTTCATGTTTCAAAATGAGAAGCTGTTCCTGAGCTGTCTACTGAATGACTGACATAGGGATGGGACTTTGGGACAGGTGGACTTGGGTTCAAATCCCATATTCTGCCCCTCACCCATGGAATGGCCTTGAGGGTGGGGGGTCACATCCCTGTTACCATCTTTATGTCCCGGGTCTTTGACTTTTCAGTAAGGTGGTGGCTGGGATGGTCTCAGTATGTGGCAGATGGACTCAATCAGTGGACACTGTGTTACTGAACCAGGCCACTTTTACCCGCCTTGTAGTATGATGATCACCAAGACGACAAGTTTTCCAAAAGAAAAGTTTATTCTCAGTGACTGAGCATGGCGATGGAGACACAGGTCTCAAATTCTCCTCCTCAAGGATAGGGCTTAGGGATATTCATGGGGTAAAGAAGTAGAGTGATTTTAAGGCATGGGGAAGGTGACAGGAAGAGAAGTTGTGGTATGTCACCAAACTTTATGGTTTTTCATGGGGACCTGGGTTCAGAAAATAGCAGCATCAGCCTGGTATGAGGGTGGAGTTTGGGGCCTCTTGATGTTTAAAGGTCACCTCATCGGACATCTGCACAGGCCCAAGTGAAGAATTGGTGGTTTGGACAGAAATGGCTTTCAAGTTTTTGACAAGTAGCCCAGTCACCTGTAACCACATGTCAGAGGTGTTCTCTAAGCAAAGCTAGCAGGACGCTAATGACAGAGCTCAGCTGCGAGGCCTCCAGAATTCATAATCTAAAAACAAACAAACAAAAACAAGCAGATAACTAAGGGGGAGCAGGGGGACTCCTTGGAGAGGTACAAATGCGAAGTGCTGATTGGTGTGGGGAGGTGGCTGTGGGCTGGCTGTGTCTGCTGGGGTAGGTATCAAAGTAGGATTTCGGCCTCCCATGGGTCCCAGAGACTGGGGTCTTATTCTTTTGAAGGTTTCATTCCTGAGAATGGCCCTCAGGTCCTTGAGGATCTGCTGAGCTGCACAAGTACACACTAGCGCTGGAAGCCTCTCTTTGGGGAAACGCCCAGCAGATGACTGTGGCCCATCCAGCTACAACTTTGATTTCAAGAAGGGCAAGGCCATGGGCAGGGCTCAGGTGACAGATGCTGAGGGCGAGCAGGAGGAAGTGAGGGGAGGTGAGAGGAGGGCGAGGAGGCCCGGGACAGCCTCTGACTGGTGCTGGGCCTTGCACAGTGGACCTGCCAACCCAGTTTAGATAAGACTTCTAGGTTCCTTTTTCCCTCAACAGCATCCTGAGCCTTCTCTCCCAGCTCTGAGCAATGAGTCAGAGCCCATCCCCTTGAGGAGGTGGCTGGGGTGGGGGTGGAGGGGGAGGGTGCGGGCTGGTGGAAGGGGGCAGGGCTGGGAGGCATTGTGGCATTGTGAGTAGCCCCAGTGTGGGGGGACAGGCACTTCCTCAGAACAGCCCCACCACTTGTGACCGTGGCTCACTCAGCGACACTCCCCCCAGCCCCCACACTGTGCTCTGCACGGGGGCTGGATAGAATTCTCCAGCCTGGACACTGTGGGGACCTGAGCTCCTGAAGACCAGACTTCAGGACCCTTGCCGCCCTCCACCGCTCCAGAATGGCCAACGTAGGTCTGCTTCGGCTTCTCTTTCTACTCTGGGAACCTCAGTAAGGACAGAGAAGGGCCCCCCTGGACTCAGGGCCAGGCGCAGTCGGGCGGGAGCAGCAGCACAGCCCGCTCTAAGCTGGACTCCAGCTTGCCTGGGTGCTGAGTCCCCACATCTTCCCCAGGGGTAAGAGCAGGCCCCCGAGAGTCCAGAAGATTCTTGTCCTAACTCTGGCCTCAGGCAAGCCTTTCCCTTCTCCAGGCTCAGTTTCCCAAGGACACAGGGGCACTAGAAAGATGCTTCTAAGTTCTGGGTGTCTGTGATCTTGTGACCTGAACACTGGTGTCCAGCTTGGAATGACCCCTCACAAGGAGGGCAGGAGGCCGAAGCTCCCAATTTGTTTTCTCTCCCTGCTGCCACAGGTTTCTGACTTGGGGGTCCAGAGGGAGGGCAGAAGCTGAGGGGGGCAGGAAGCGTGGTCTGCCGGCTTTTAATGGTCAGGTTTATGCCCACCAAGGCCATGGGAATGGAAGCCTGGCCCGTGTGGTTAAGCGATGCCAGGCTGGACCTGAGGGCAAACGCTGTGCCCAGGACAGGCTGCAGCACACTGGGGGACAACTTCATCTTGTTGGGGTCCTGGTGGCCAGCCAAGGCCCATACACTCAGCTTGCACCCTGTGGGCCACTGAGCCTGGGTCAGGCCCTCCCCAGGAATTTCTAGGGTTGCTTATGGAGGAGGGTGAGTTTGGGGTTCTAAGTATCTGTATCCCACAGGCCTACAGATTGACTACTCTGAGTTGGTTGAGGGTGGGCTAGGACTAGGTGAGGCCGTTGGTGCCATCTCTGTCCTGAGCCCCACGTCTGATTCTTTTTAGACCTTGAAGAATACAACATCTTCTTCCCTGGCTCATATGCCTCTTCCTGCAGGAAGCTCTCCTTGATTTGACTCCACCCAGTCTTCCCCCACATACCCATAATTTGAGGAGAGGCATTGGGCAAGGGGAAGGAGTGCCAGGCTTTGTCTGGAAAACAGGTTAGGGGTGGGTGACTTGGGAGAGCCCCATAGACCTCTGAGCTCCGATGTATGAGGACGTGACATTTATTGTCAGGGAAACTGGGGCTCCTTTTCCCAGTCTCAGGATTTGGGAGGGTCTGAGGGGGCAGAAAAGCAGATAGAGGAGGTGCCGAATCTCAGACTGCCCTGGTTTGCAGTTGCCTGGCCAAGTACCTAAGGGTTGGCAGGGATTAGTGAGGGGCAGACCTCCTGCCTCCCACCAGGATTTATACTCTTCTTCTAGGGTCAGCCACATGTGCGAGCCAGGAGCACTGGGGTAGGCAGCCCGGTGCTGGGACCCGTTCCCTAGACCTGGGGATGCTGTAGGAACTTCTGTCCTCTCATGTCCTTGTATGCTACCTCCCCACCCCAGCTTCCCATGCCAGCAGCTCAGACGGACCTAGAGTCCGCACCCGAGGGCAGGGGCGGGGCAGGTTGGTCAGGACCACCAGGACTGGCTGGGCAAGCGCCAGGTGCAGGAGCAGCCCCTCCTTGGGGATTTTCTAGGGTGACCCTCACGTAGCCCAGCTGAGAGGGGACCCAGGGCTGAGGGTATAGCTCAGTGGCAGAGCACTTGCATAGTACCCCACTGGGTTTGATCCCCAATGTCACAAAAAGTAAAACAGAGGTGATGCAGGGTGTTCTAGGTGTGCTCTGGTCACCCTGAAGCCACCCTCAAAACCCACCTTCCCAGACTGGTGCAAGAAGATGAGCTGAGCCCACAGAGGGCCCAGCCTGGCCCTGGGTACAGAGCTAAGTCTCAAAGACTCGCCTGGGTCACGGCAGCGGCAGAGGCTGGGTAGCACGAGTGCAGAATTTAACTCCAACCTGCGTTCAATGTCAGGCTACCACTTGGTAGCTGTCACCCCTCCGTGCCTGCTTTCTTGATTAGCTGAGTGACAGGGTGATGGGGGTGGGCAGCATGAGTAGTGCCAGGCACCCCTGAGGGACTAAATTTGGCGGCTGTCATCTTGGTGCTTCAGTGGTGGCCCCTCCCATCAACTGTCCCTCGGTGGCCTTGATGGGTCCCGATTGAGAACTCTGATGTCAGACAGGCAGCCCCTGACCACTTGGGCACCTGTCACCCCCCACAGCTGTGTGGGCACCTCCTGTGTGAGGACAGGGCCTGAACCCAAGGACTGGACTGTGATGGGGAGATGGAGACAAGGGAGGGTCTCCTCCTGGGGTGTCCAGAGGCCCCTGCTGGGCCGTGCTCAGGGATCTGCCTGCCCTGCGTTCCAGTGCAGGGACTTCACGGCCCACACGGGCTACGAGGTGCTGCTGCAGCGGCTGCTGGACGGCAGGAAGATGTGCAAGGACGTGGAGGAGCTGCTGAGGCAGAGGTGAGCGGGGATGGCCAGGGGCCGGTGGGGTGGCCGGGGGAGGGGCTGCTGCAGAGAAAGCGCCCTCCGCAGGAAGCCAGGCGGCTCCCCTCACCCCGACCTGCCCCATGGGCGCCGCTGGCTGTCCCCTCAGGTGGCCACGTGGGCCAGCACATACTCCCAGGAGGGGCTGCGCCTTGACTCTGCCACACGGTCCTGCTGCCCCTGAGGCGGTTGGGTGGGCCTCCGGCTCTGCAGTGGGCACTTCCCGGGCCGCTGCTGGCAGCCCGGGGGACGCAGCTCGCCGTGTCCTTGCAGGGCCCAGGCGGAGGAGCGCTACGGGAAGGAGCTGGTGCAGATCGCGCGGAAGGCGGGCGGGCAGACGGAGATCAAGTAAGAGCGACCCCTGCGGCCTCCGCTGGGCCTCACACAGGGGAAGCCTCCTGTGGGGGGAGGCTGGTGGCCAGGGAGGGTCTGCACTGGTCTGCACTGCACGGAGCAGGCGTCGGTTGGCCCTTGTCTGGGGCCTGGTGGGCCGGGCCGGCCAGGTTCTGGGTGACTGAGAGCTGGGAAGGGCAGGCTGGGGAAGCGGGAGCCAGCTGCCCACAGGTGCTTTCAGTCCAATGGCCTCCATCAGAGTCCCTAGGGGCAGGGGACAGGCCCGTCTGCTGTCTGTCCGAGCCCCCTGTAGCATTGTCTGTGCTTCAAGGACCTAGTCGCCAGTGAGTCCATACCTGGTTCTGGCACCAGCTCCTCACACGGTGGGCCCTGCGTCTATGTCCCATTGGCAGTGAAGGGACAGGAGTGCAGCCTTCCTCTGAGGATGAAGTGGGTTTAGGGGCTTAGCGCAGGCCTGAGTCAGGGGAGGTCATCATGGAGTGTGGGGGCTGCTGCTGCCCCCTTTGGAGTCTGCTAGGAAGGCTAGCGGGGCAGGCCCAGGGTCAGACAGCCCTGGACTCCAAGAGTCTGAAAGCCTCTATCCCCTCAGGGCCCTGAGGCACCCGGGCTACCAAGGTAATCCCTTTCCCTGGCCTGCGTGTGCCTGGCTCTGCCCCGAGGGAGCACCTAAATATGACACTCTCTAGGTCTTACAAACACACAGGGTACCCTGGAAGTTCCCGCACTTCCAACCAGGAACCCAAACAAACAAACAACAACAAACAAACAAACAAACAAAAAAACGTGGGAAGGGTTAGAGAAAGATTTAAAAGTAATGTGAACCAGGGGAGGTTAATGTCCAGATCAACATGTTAAGACTAGAGGATGTGCATGAGAACATATACGCTCTAGTAGCTGCTTGGCCTTTGTGAGCTGTGTGATTATGGACAAGTCACTTAGCCTCTCTGAGTTTGTTTCTCATCTGCCCCCTCTAATGGGCTATAGTACAGATAAACAGGAGCCTGGTCAGAGGGCCTCTCTAGAGCAGGGCTGGCTGCTGGCTGCAGGCTGGACAGAGAGGAAGGCTCTAGACAGGGTAAGAAATGAGCAGGTGTCTGTTGGAACCTCTTTGTGTCTCTGGGAAGGGGGCCCAGGTGGTGGTGCTGGAGGAGACAGCCAGGAGGGCGGTGCAGCCCCGGAGCTGGGGGGCAAGACTCAGGGATCCTGCCTGCCCCTGGCCTCCCACACCAACGGAAAATGAGAATTTCCTGGAAGTAGCAGGGCCACTGCAGCCGTGGGACAGGAGAGGAGTCCAGGCGGGCACCCAAGGGAGCCGAGGTGGCGGGTGGGTGAGGCATGCTCAGGGGGCCGTGAGTCACATGGGACTGAGTGCAGGGATGCCCCTGGCAGAGAATGAAATGCAGTGGTGAGCTGGGTGGGCCACGGGAAGAGGAAGTACACAGATTCTTGCCCCACTCAGGTGGCCTTGATTCCCTGCATGGTCGTGGAAGGCTGAGTATGGGACAGGGCCTGCCCTGGCTTATTTCCTGGTGACCCCAGGAGGGCCACTGTCCCTTTCTGAGACTCGGGCCCTCCCTGTGAAAGGGGATGGTCACCCTGAGAGGTGCCCGAGTCTTACCCTGCAGACATTCAGTGACAAATTGAAGCCACCTGCTTCACTTGGGACCGAGCGGCCTGGCTGTGAGCTGAGGCCTTTTCCTTTGGGACCCAGGCCCTGCCCTGGCCCAGCGCCAAGGTCCCTTGGAAAACCACTCAGGGGGCTGGAGGCTGCCTTAATCCAGACAGGGAGCTCCAGCTGAGCCTGGAGGGGGAACTGGGCCAAAGCAGCTGCAAAAAAGGTAGAAATAAACCCACAAGGTCCAGAAAAAAGGTTCACAGAGTGGGTCAGCGGCCGTGGGAGAAGCCAGCACTGCACAGGCTCACTGCAGGCCAGGCCCCGGAAGCAGGGCGGAGGTGTGCGCCGGCCTGGGGGTGCCTCCTGGAGGGGAGGGCATTCCTGCCAGGGACCTATGGACAAAGGCTCAGAGGTGGAAAAGGGCAGGACACTTGGGAGCCACTGGGTGATATGGCCAGAGCTGCACCAGCCGGCCTGCTGCAGGAAGGTGGGCAGGAAGGATAAAGGCCAAGGGGTTAGGGACCCCTTCAGTAGCTCATGGCACACCAAGAGGGCAGGGGGTTGGCTTGCTCCACCTCTGCTGCCCGGAGACTCAGCGGCATCATTCCTTGACCTTGAGCAAGCAGGAGCCTTACCCCGGCCTGCAGCTCAGGCCACATCTTAGGATGATTTTTGGCGGGGACCTCTTTTGCATGTTGTTAACTCAGCAAACATCTGTGGGGCGGCAGCAAGGGAGGACACACAAAGAGGACTGGGCCGCCAGCCCCCGGGGTCCCCACAAGCCCTTCCAATGCATATTTAAGACAGCGTTAGGCTTTTGCAGGGGGCTCATCAAGACCCCTGACATCCCATGTCCAGCCCTGCAGAAAGTTGGCCTTGACTCCCCAGCCCGGCCCTCCCTTTCCTCTGCTTGGTCCTCCCTGCCTTAAGGTTCTGCCTGAATCGCCACCTGCCCCTGAAAACTGTTGCCTCTGCCGCCTCCTCACTTTCTTCCCCAGGGAGGGTGCTGTGTGCTCCCAGGAGCTGCAAGGGGCAGCAAGGCCTGGCCCGCTTCCTGTGAACCCCAGTGGTTACCCGTGAGCATGGACAGAACCCCCAAAAGGGGCACGAGCTTGAACCCTCGTGTCCTGCCCCCCCCTGCCCTTGTTATAAACTTGAAGCATGGTGGGTTTCCTGCCCGAGGAGTTGGCTTGTTTCATTCTCTTTATTCCTCTGGGCTCACTGGGGCTGCCGGTGGGCTCCATTCTCCCTGATCCTCTGGGGTGCACTGTGGCCACAGTGGTCCTCCAGCGCAGGGAGGAGAGGGGGCCTGCTCTTGTCAGCTGGGAGGCACAAATGACCTGCCAATCTTGCCTCCTCTGACAGTGCCTCTGCCCTACCTGCCCAGCCCAGGGTGTCACAAGGTGGATGTCATGTGGCCACATGGCCACCAGGGGGCAGGTGAGCTGCTCCACAGAAAGGCAGGAAGAGGCTTGGTGGCCGGCCACAGCAGAATGCGCTGGGACAGGGCCACTGCCACTGCCTCTGTGTGAACCCAGCCAGCCTGCCCACACTCTGGCTTCAGTTCCCCTGCGTGCCTCGATTGGCTCCTTGGTGTCCTGGGGAGGAGGGCGCCACTGTGTGTTTCAGTGTCTTAGTTAAAGGAGCCTTGTTCCCAGGCCCAGCTGCAACCAGTGCCCTTGGTGACTTGGCACCACTGGCCAGGCTGGGGACACCGCAGGCAGAGGCATCCCTCATATGCTGCCCAGCATGGGCTGCTCCTCACCCTCCCTGCTGAGAGTGGGAAGGGAGCCCCCTACCTGAAGACGAAGTCCAGTCGGGGGTTTTGGTAAGAGCAGGTGCTGGTAAGCCCTTAGGTAGAGCAGGTTGGGGGTCAGATCAGACAGGCCTAGGGGTCCCCAGGGCTGGCTGGGATCTGAAGATATTTCCAGGATGGTTGCACAACAGTGACAACTTTCGTAAAACTCCTCCATTGCTCCAGGTCCTAGGAGAGGCACTTTGTACATGTCAACTCGCGTAACCCTCACAGCCTTCCTTTTGTTTTGTTATCCTCATTTTACAGAGGGGACAAACTGAGACAGAGAGGTAAAGTAACTTGTCTAAGGTCACACAACAAATAAATTGTAGTATCTGGATTGAATCCAGGTCATCTGGCTTCAGAATCTGCTTCTAAAGCACATGGGAGTCCAGAGCAGGGAGAAGCTACTGAATGAAGGTCCTGCTGGTTTCCTGGGTGGGCTTCCTACACGGCCTCCCTCCTCCCTGGGATGGGGAATTCACCCCTCCAAGAAACCCCTGCTCCTGAGAGCTTGTGGTCTAGAGAGAGGTGTTCTCCCACAACGTTCCTGTTTCTGCCAGGGACCCTCTGCCTTGTGGTGCTCCATCACCTGCAGTAGACAGGACGGGGTCCTGGGGTAGGGGCACAAGTACCTTGGCTCAGACTCAGCTGTCAATGGCTCTGGGGTGAGCCCCCAGTTGGGCTGCCAGATACAATACAGGACACCGGATTCCACTGACTTTCAGCTCCCATGGTGCTCTTTAGATGGGAGTGTGTCCACTAATCACCCAGGGCAGACTTATGCTTGTTGTTGAACTGAGAGTCAAGCGAGCTGGGCATCTGCTCAATCTGGCACCCCTACTGCTCGGGCCTCGTCCCTGCCTCGCGTACCCAGTGCCAGCCTTTCCCCTCCCTCTGGCTCTGGTGCCCACCGCCCCCCTCCCTACAGCAGACAGCACCTGCATCTCTCCCCTCCCGCTGCCTCCTGCCCAGTACCTCCAGCCTCATCCATCGTCCTCCAGCCTTCCCACGGCACTAGGAGCCAGGTGTGGACGCTCCCTCTCCTGCTTCGGTCATCCTGGAGCACTGGCTACCTGGAGAGGACAGGGGTTTCAGGGAGGGAAGGACCATCCTGAACACAGCCCCTTCTTCCCTAGGAACGCAGAAAAGAGCAGAGGGGGGCCGGGTCCTCCCTGTTCTGCTGCAGTGGGAAGATTGAATTTCCGAGAGCTTTGTCTTCCACAAATCCCAGTTTGGGGTCCGTGGAGTTGGTCCCCGTCTCCCCCAGAATAACACAGGCCCTCAGGCCACCCAGGACTTGGGGTTCACACAGTGCCATCTTCCTGCTGACCTGGCCCTCCTGTTTTGCAGCTCCCTGAGGGCCTCCTTTGATTCCCTGAAGCAGCGTAAGTCCCACCTGTCCCTGTTCTAGGCTGCAGGGTGGCGGGATCTCCGGGAAACCCAGGTCCCTCAGAGGAGGCTGGGGCCCAGCTTTGTTTGCACCGGGGCTGCGGGGCTGGTGGAGGATCTGGGGGTGGGTGAAGGTGAGGGAGGTATGGGCTGGCCCAGGCAGGGCGAGCTGTGGTGGTTGAGGCCATCCTCTGACCCTAGAAATGGAAAATGTGGGCAGCGCACACATCCAGCTGGCCCTGACCCTGCGTGAGGAGCTGCGCAGCCTGGAGGAGTTCCGCGAGAGGCAGAAGGAGCAGAGGAAGAAGGTGAGGGGGTCACCACATGGGGACACGTGCCCTCCTGGTGCAGCCAGTGAGGAGCAGGGGCAGTGCTTGGGCCCTGGGATCAGTGCCTTGAAGGAGGGAGGGAGGCCAGGTAAGGCCTGAGAGGCCCCCTGAGGGTCCTGCCTGAGCTGCCCGTGCCAAGGAAGCAGGGAGCACACTGGTCTCTGTGACCACCTCACTACACCGCAGAAGGTTGGGGCAACCTGGGGGCACTCAGAGCAGCCAGTCTGAGTTGAGTGGCCCCTGGACACTGGTCCTGATTGAGCCCAAGGATCAGGGTTGTTTATCCAAGAAAAAGTTGGAGCCAGTGAGAGGGGGGTGCTGCCCAAGGCCAAAGGGGCCAATAGACAGCAGGGGTGGGGTAGGGGCTTCAGGCTCAGCAGCGTCCAGAGGGACTCCTCCCCAGGGGGGCATGGCTGCACCTAGACAGAGTTACCGATGGCAGGAAGGTGAGGCCCCCATGGGAGATGTGCAGGTAGAGGCTGGCGGACCTGGCTGGGTGGCGGCTCCCCCCCCCCACAGCTCAACTCCCACAGACTGAGCACCCTGGGAGGGCAGGCACGTTGCAGGCTGGTACTGGGAAGGGGGCTCAGGCACCCAGGGCTCCCTGCAGAGGGCGAGGCAGCACAGGAAGGGTCATTGTCAAGGGTCTGAGGAACTGAAAATGGAAGAAAGATACCCTGAGCTGTGCAGGGGAGGAAAGCATGCCCTCCAGGCTGGGCCTGGGCGTCTGACGAAGCCGCTCCCCACCCAGGCCTCATCCCCCCTCGTAGGAGGGGTGCTCTCATCCACCCCCAAGCTTGGGAGTGCAGCCCAGAGGGGGCCCAGTCTCCACAGAAGGGCTGCGGCTCTGCTGGGTGGTTCTCCCGGCACATTCAGCACAGCTACCCGCCCTGCCTGCTCCAGGGCCAGTTGGGTCTCAGCCCTTCAGGAGTCTAAATTTGGCTTCCTGAGCAGATAGGAAGTCCCCAAAGCCATCCTCAGAAGCGGCCTGGCCTTGAGGTGCTGGAGCAGGTGACCTCTCTGAGCTGGGACTTGCTGCAGGCCTGCAGAGCACCTGGTGCCATAGGGAGGCCCTAGCCCAGCTCTTCTGAGCTCTCTGTGGCCAGAGGGGCTGTGACGTCTCTCAAAAGTATTTAGGACAGAGCACTGACCTCCCCAGAGCAGCCATGGCCACCGCGAGCAGGAAGCTGTGACGTAGCCTGGGAGCCTGTCTGGGCATGTGTGGGCACATGTGTGTGCTGGTGCATTTGTGCCTGATCTTTGTGACTAGGCAATTTGCCAAGGTCTCCCAGCTGACCCGACCCTCCCCAGGCACAAACTGGCTCCAGTCTGATGTGGGGCCTTTCATCTCTAATCTCCTACCTCCTCCTTGCCTTGGTCCTGGCTGCTTCACTAGCTCTGTCTGAACAGGAAGCCCAGGAGGCGAGCGTGGCGTACGGTGGCCATGGTGGCCACGGTTCCTGTGTGTGGCCCTGAGCATGTGTAGACTGGCCTGTGGTTGTGCACAGGTGAACGTGGGAGTCTGTAATGTGTGCTGAGAGGTCTGTGGATGTTCACAGGGAGGCCTGTGTGTGCAAGTGTGAGCAGCCAGGGGAGTGGGGCTGCTAGTCAGTACTTCCTAGTGTTCTTGTGGGGCTCTGTGTGCACGTGTGTGCCAGTATGTGCTCACTGTGTGAGCAACTGGGATGTGCTCGGGGGCCTGCAAATGAAGGATGTGGGTGGGTGCAAGTTCTCTGTCTAGAGTTGAAGCCCCGGCTAGACTCTGCAGCCAGGCCACGGTGGCCTTGGCATTCCATTCTGAGGGTGACTGTGAAGGGGCAGCTCTGGGAGATGGAGGGCATCCCATCAACGCCCTAGAGCCCGGAGAGGATGCTCTGCCTCATCCTAGGGACAACCCCTCCTCTTGGCCTAGGGGAGCGTGCTGAGGCTGTGGCCCCCTGCTCAGAGCCTCGTGTCCCCTGCAGTACGAGGCCGTCATGGACCGTGTTCAGAAGAGCAAGCTGTCACTCTACAAGAAGGCCATGGAGGTGCGTGTGAGGCTGGGGCCTTGCCCCTCGGGGGGTTCAGGCTGAAGGCCAGAGGGGCGGTCCTGCAGTTGCTCACAGGGTAATCCACGGTCAGCTGAGGACCCCAGGAGAGCAGGGTGGAGGGATCCCTGAGAAGTGTCCAGAGGACACTGGGCAGGAAGGGGGAGAAGGGTACCCAAGAGGGCATCAGGTGAAAAGGTGTAGTGTAGTGGCACAGGTCCCTTCGGGGACAAAAAGGCTGGGCCATGGGCAGGCAGGGCCTCTGTCCCCAGTAAACAGAGCCTACAGCAATACTGCCAGCAGTCCCCTCCTCCGTCTCCATTGCCAACCCCAAGATCCCAGTCCCTGATGGGGACGTCCTGTTTTAGCCCCAGCCCCTCACCCCCGCCAGGGAAAAGGTGGGCTGGGGTCAGGGAGCCTCAATCTGGGGGACACAGAGAAGGACTGTGGGGCCCTGCAAGTCACTCCCCTTCACAATCCTAGTCCAAGAGGACATACGAGCAGAAGTGTCGGGACGCAGACGATGCTGAGCAGGCCTTCGAGCGCATCAGTGCCACTGGCCACCAGAAGCAAGTAGAGAAGGTGCGTGGGGCCACTGGGGCTGTGTGGTGTCACCGGGCTGGGGCTACAGACATCCCCAGGCAAAGTCTGCATCCAGGACACACCAGCTGCCCACCCTTCTCTGACCCTGAGTCTTGGCATCTATGTAATGGGTTTTCCAGACTCTCAGGTCATGGACAGACAGGTCATCTTGATCCCCTTTGCCATCTCCCGGCTGCGCCCAAGGACCCATTCCTCAGAGCAGGCTTTCTGCAGCTCAGGCCCCAAGTTCACAGATGGGGAAGAGCTACCCCTCAGACAGTCCTTGGAGAGGGACTCCGTAGTCCCCAGTCACACAGAGAAAACTGAATTCCAGGATGGTGAGTGATTTGTCCAGATCTCAGAGCCAGAACTGCAGAGAAGGGATCCAAACCCAAGTTGTCCAGAGTTCAAGCTCTTGACTGGTCTAGCCTATGGGTCGTGTCAGAGACACCAGGACCAAAATCACATCACCCAGATGTGCAGACGGGAGAGCTGAGGCCCAGGAGGGCAGGGTCTTGTAGGTGTGTGAGGACAGCAAGTCAAGGGCCAAAGCCTGAGTCCCAGCCTGTGGGTCCAGCAGAGGCCACATAGGGCTCGGCCTGGCCTGACCTGCCCTCCCCATGGTCTTGACTTCTGCTTTTCAGGAGTATCTTGATGGGCTGCAGGTTTCTGTTTTTAGTCATGGGAACCCTTTGATGGGGTGAGGCTGCCGGTGAATGATGGAATTTGTCCCTGGTTCATTCTTGACCCTAGATGGCCAGAGAAGGTGTGACAGTCACTTCTGAGTAGCCAGGGTAGTGTTGGAGCCCAAGGGCTGGGCTCAGTGCTGCTCTCCCTGTCTCCTCAGAGCCAGAACAAGGCCAAACAATGCAAGGACTCAGCCACCGAGGCAGGTATGTGCACCCTGGCCCCATCCTCAGGCTGGCGTGGTGGCCTGGCCAATCCTCCTCACCAAACTTGTTCCTCATCTGGGGACGTGTGCTCCACCTGAGTGTGCTCCATGAGTCACATGGGTGCCACCCTGCACTTGTGCAGAGGCTGTTCCTGCCGCTTTGCACATTTAATCCTCACTCCACCTATGAGGTGGCTGTGGTTTGTCCCCCTTTTTAGCAGACAAGGAAACTGAGGCACAAAGAATTTAGGTAACTTGTCCAAGGTCATCAGCCAGTAAATGGTGGTGACTACAAGGGAACAGAGACCGTCCGGCTCCAGAGCCTGGGACTTGCAGGGCCACGTCCCTAGGAGACAGGCCCCTCATTTCTCTCTCCTGCACACATGCACACACCCAGCCCTCCCTGGCCCTGGCCTCTCTATCCCCCTACTGCCCCTTGTCCCTGCTGAAAAACCTCCTAGGACAGAGCCATCTCCTCCCTGCCTCAGGAAGGTGCTCTCCCTTCTGCATGGCCTCTCTAACACCTGGTGGGCCCTTGGTTGGGGGACCAGGTGACCCGAGGGATATGGGGGTGGGGGTCATGACCCAAGCCTGCAGGGTCCCCACCCCTCCAGCACCTGCCTGCCCTCTTCAAAACTGTTTCCTGGAAAGTGAGGGGGTGGGATTTGGGGAGGGCAAGCAGCTGGGACTTTGAACTTGTGTCCCTGGGGGTCCACTCTAGCACCCATAGCACAGTAGGGGAGCCAAGTCACCCTGAAAAGGGCTATATGTGGGGGGGTCCCTGACAGGTGTTCAGATGAGCCCAGCAGCAGCCAGGCAGGCCCGCAGGACTGAAGGATGTGGGGGAGGGGGCTCTGTGGGAGTAAAGGTGTGGAGGAGCTCCTGTTCTGGGGACATGGGGAGTCCAGGTCACTCAGTTTCCCTGAGGGTTGCCTGTGCTTCCAGAGCGAGTATACAGGCAAAACATCGAGCAGCTGGAGAAGGTGCGGGGTGAGTGGGAGCAGGAGCACCGGACCACCTGTGAGGTAAGTGGCCTGGGCCTGCAGCCTGTGTCCCCCATTGCAAACGGAAGGGCATCCATCCCTGCTGTTTGAGGCCGCAGGTTGGGGATAGTATTCATTCATTCACCCCCTCATCTGCTCACTCACTAGGCCCAGAGCTGGGTCTTATCCTGGGGTGTTCACCACCTGGCTTTGTGCCCAGGGCCCCGCTGATGGACCACATCCTGTGCGCCTCTTGCTGCCCTTCCCCGGGATTTCATCCAGTGTGTGGTGGGGTCTGGAGGGAAGCTGCGGGCGGGAATCCCCGAGGCAGCTCAGCCTCCCTCCCAGCAGCCCAGGACTGCCACAGGGGTGGGGACCCACAGGAGGCCTTCCCTTTAGACTTGGTAGCCAGCAGAGCTTGCCCACTGGTCAGCCTCAGCTGAGCTGAGTGGGGCCTGCCTGGCCCTGCAGCTCCTCCTCACTTCCTCCTTCTCCCCAGGCCTTCCAGCTGCAGGAATTTGACCGGCTGACCATTCTCCGCAATGCCCTGTGGGTGCACTGCAACCAGCTCTCCATGCAGTGCGTCAAGGACGATGAGGTGGGGTTTCAGGACACAGGGGTAGGGTGCAAGGAGTGGGTGAATGAATGAATACTATCCCCAACCTGTGGCCTCAAACAGCAGGGATGGGTGCCCTTCCGTTTGCAATGGGGGACACAGGCTGCGGGCCCAGGCCACACACCTGCATGCCCAGGTCCATCTAAGCCAGTGAGCAGACACTTGATCCTCTGTGAGCCAAGCTCTCGCCTGGGAGTCTCGGACTTCAGCCTCTGCTTCCTGCACAGCCCAGACAGGGCTGCAAGCCCCTGCTTTTGTGGTTATGCTGGCTTCTGCCATCTGCTCCCTGTCCCCATGCTCTCCAGAGTGCCTGGCTCTGCTCTTGCAGCTAGAGCACCCTCCTGCTCAGGGTGGGGAGTGTGGAAGCAGCTGGGGGTGGGGAGAGCAGGTAGACACAGTTCTTTGCAAAGGGTCTAGAGGACCCCATGGCTCCACTGCAGGCCTGGTGCTTGCAGAAGACCAGGTCCAGTTGCTCCTCTGCCCCACCCCTGTCCCTGTCTCCAGGAAGACCTGACTATACCCCAGCAGAGTGCTGCCACTCTGTGAAAGGGGCCTGAGTCTCATGCTCTCTTGGGGCAGCCTGGAGGCCAGCTGCTGTTCCTTGCCTGCCCCCTCCTGAGGCAAGGTCCAGATCACTCTGATCTCGGCCTCCACACAGACCTTTAGGTGTTTGTTTTCTAAATGATATGTACCCACCCGATGGCCTCTTCATGGCAGTGGAAGAAGTGTGAGCTCGACTCCCTCATCAAGATCCAAAGCCTAGCTGCATTGCATTCTTGTGACATATCCCTTCTCAGTTTCCTCATCTATAAAATAGGGAAATAGTGTCTGCCTCAGAGGGCAGGGTGAATTAAGTCCTTTGCATAGGTCCTTGAGAAAGGAGGACACAGAAAAAAAAAGACAAAAAAATAAATTAAAAAAAATAAAAAAAAAATAAATTAAAAAAAAAAAAAGAAAGAAAGGAGGACACAGGAAGCTGTTAGCAGGGATTTATCCTCTCTGGGTTATATCCCAACGTCCCTCATTTCAGGCGCTGACAGGGTCCCTGGCCAGAGTTCAGACCCACAAAGTGTGGGCACTGCGGTGAAGCCTGGCCACACGGTCTCTGCTCTTTCCTGCCCCTAGCTCTATGAGGAAGTGCGGCTGACACTTGAAGGCTGCAGCGTGGACACCGATATCAATGGCTTCATCCAGGCCAAGAGCACAGGCACTGAGCCCCCAGGTAAGGCCCACTCCTAGGACAGCAAGGGTTTAGCCAAGGATCCCTTGAGCCAGGACAGTGCTGCGATGGCTCATGGCTCCTTTGTGGGAGGAGGAGTTAAAGGAGGGGACGGTAATCTCTAGGCTGGGTCTCTGGCCTGCTGACTCCTCTGAGACAAAAGAAGACCAGAATTAAGGAGGGACCAGAGATCTTATAAGGGAGGTTAGGATGGTGAAGCTCTGTTGAGTCTTCAGCTCAGCCCTTTTGGTCCCTAAATCATAGTTCAAAATATCCATGGCAATCTCAGTGGCACCAACAGTGGGGGACTCTCATGGGAGCAACAGGATGGGCCAGAGCAAGAGTGGAAAAGGGGGACCCTACTCTGGGTCTCTGAGGACAGGTTGGGGTGTCGAGCGACACAGGTTCTGCCTGCCTTCGCCACCGTGGGCCTCACAGGCTTGCTTGTCTGCAGCTCCGGTGCCCTACCAGAACTACTATGACCGGGAGGTCACCCCGTCATCTGGCAGCCCTGGCATACCACCATCCTGTGGCATGATAAAGAGGTGAGGCATCAAATGGGTGTCAGTGGCTGGGATGCAGAGCAGGGGTAAGAGCAGTGGGTCAGGAGTGGGCTGGGCCTCTGCTGCCACAGGCAGCAGAGCACCCACTTTGCATCTGGGGCTGCTCAGGTGCTGGGTGCCCTGTGGAGACACAACAGCCTCAATCCAGTCTTATGGAACCCTTGGCCCAAGGGAACCCAAGTATTAAACAATTAGTTACACCCCAATTACTCACTAGCGACTGCATGCAAAGCCCTAGGTAGGCCTCATACTGGCTTCCTTGTCCCGTTGGCCACACTGTGAGCCTGGGTTGGTGCCTTAGGTGACTCTCTTCAGCAGGAGCCCAAAACCTGTGCACCTGGAGAATTCTCCTGGGTAGTGTCCTTTCCCTGGCCTGGCTGTCAGGTGCCAGGTCCTAGTGCTATACCCCAATATACCATCTGGATCCAGTCACTATGGGGCCAAGAGGAAGTGGGCTGGCTTGGCCCAGGCTGGTGAAGATGCCAGCGTGGCATGTTTGGGTTGAACTTTGAAGGGCAGATCCTGCCACAGCAGGAAGGCCAGAGTGTAGTCCAGGGCTTGGCGGGTATGGAGACCTGAGCATTTTCTTAGAACCCTCACAGTGCCCTGCATGGAACAGGTGCTGAGATGATCTAGCATGGGGTTGTGGGAGTGTGTTGCCAGGAAGGAAGGGCCACAGTGAACACCCCTTGGGGATCCCTGGAGGCAGAGAACTCTCAGAGCTTTGCGAGTTCTTCCTTTAGCGGTGGGGCCTTAAGAATCAGACAAACAGACCGGACTGATCCTCTTTCTTCCCTCCCCCAAGATTCTCTGGGCTGCTGCATGGAAGTCCCAAGACCACATCCCTGCAAGCTCCTGCTGGTAACTGAGGGTGATGTGGGAGGTCCCCAGACACTGTGACCCCAGGGGAAAGGACTCCTATATGGCATAGCTGGGGCCACTGAGGCCCCCAAAGGGAAAAGGTATACCCTCCAACAGCAAAAGGGATAGTGGAAAGGCAGGGCCAAGCCTAAACTCCATGCCAACGGGGCCTCCAGGGACCATAATTCTTCTAAAGGGGCAGGGTCCAGGCCTCACTCTGATCTTGGCCTCCACAGAGACCCTGACACCTGCCCCTGAGCGGAGTGAAGTCGTCTACGCAGACATTGCAGTGCAGGAGACCCTGGGAAACGCTGCCCCACCAGCCCAGGACTACAGGGCGCTCTATGACTACACGGCACAGGTGAGGCCTTTGCCTTCCTCCCCTGCTCAGGAGGGCACATGTGTATACCTGGAAATGTGCTGGGGTATGAACCCTTAGAACAGCACTCTCTACTTAAGACAATAGAGACAGCATACATCTGCTGAATATGGCAAATAGGTACAAGAGCTCATGTCTGCTCAAATCTGCACACATGTATAAAAGTCATCCATGCAGGCTGACAGAGCTGGGGTAGGTAATGGTTTTAGGGTCAGGGTGTGCACTCTTGAGTCAGGGCCTTGTTCTCTGCATCCATGGGTGCAGAGAACACCAAGGCCAGAATGAATCCTTCTACTGTGCTGTGGCTGGTCTTCTGATGTCTGTGGGGAGAGGATGGGTAGGGGCAGCCCTGCTGAGATTTCCAGAGCCCAATCTGCTCCGTGTATCAAGGCAAGGGTGCAGAACTGGAAACCAGAGCCATCCCTCACAGCGAGGCAGGCCAAGTGTGGGTCGCACCCACTGAGGCCACTCAGGGATGCAGATTTTGGCAGGCTTTGGCAAGGGCAGCCAAGAGAATGATAGGTGCTTGTATGAGGGGGCGGTGGGGATTCTCTGGGCTCAGCAGTGGTGAGCTTTGGAGTGAGTGTCCCCTTAGGTTTGGGGTAAGGCAAGCAGCTGACTCCTGATGTGCTCCAGTGGTTGGAGCAGAGTGGGAGAAGACCAGGCTGGGGTGCCTCTGGTGACAATTTGAAGAGGACATCCCCAAAGGGACTGTCCCAAGAGGCATGGGCATGTCTCAGGTGCGGTCCACCCTGGGAGCCTGGCTCACATTTCCTGCTGGGGCAGGGGATGCCAGACCACAGCCCTCCCAGCTGCCCCTCCAGTCTCATGCTCGTTCCATCTCTTGCCCAGAACTCCGATGAGCTGGACATGTCTGCAGGGGATATCCTGGCAGTCATCCTGGAAGGGGAGGATGGCTGGTGGACAGTGGAACGGAATGGGCAGCGTGGTTTTGTCCCTGGGTCCTACCTGGAGAAGCTCTGAGGAAGAACCAGCAGCTCCTCACCAGGACCTGCCCTGCCAGGAGTGTCCCCTAAAACTGCCCTGGTATTGTGGGGTCTGAATGGGCCTGCCCCTGCTGGGGATGCGACGGAGATGGTGTCACATTCAAGAAGTCTCTCCGGGCTGGGGATGTGGCTCAAGCGGTAGCGCACTCGCCTGGCACGTGCGAGGTGCTGGGTTTGATCCTCAAAACCACATAAAAATAAAAAAAATAAAGATATTATGTCCACCTAAAAAATAAATTAAAAAAGAAGTCTCTCCTACAGGGAATAAAGAAATGCATTCTTTTTTTTTTTTTTTTTTGGGGGGGGGTCTCCTGGGTCCCTTTTACTCCTGTGTCCAAATGCTCAATTCAGAGGAAAAGGAGTGAGGAGAAGAGTCTGGAGAACAGAGCTCCGCCACATCTGGACAGATCTTCAGCAGAAGTCACTGAGGGCCCCAGCCAGTCCCAGGTTCTGCTGGTCCCATCGCTGGAATGTATCAGAGAGATAGTCACACCTTGCACAAATGGGATAATGAGGCAGGGTAGCGAGGAGCCTCAGGAGGGCTGGGAAGGGCAGATCAGGTTCCTGAGGGTAGAGAATCGGGCAACAACAGAGCACACCCCCAGGGAGCTCACCCGGACCTGTGGCTTCCCCGCTGGCTCCTGGCATCCACCTGTCAACCAGCATACAGAGGTTTAGCTCACGTGCCAAGGCAAAGGTCAGGTGCCAGAGGCAAAAATTAGACCTTTACCAAGCTGTGCCCTAGGAAAAGGGTAAAGAGAGTGCCAGTAAAAGGGGGCTACTCTGGTGTTTAACACAAGACGCCCATCATCATGCCCTCGTCTTCATTGCCAGGTTAAAAAGGCAAAGTTAGTTATGATGCCTAGAGGAAGTGAAGGAGGGGATGGGCTTTCTTCTTTGGAGCATGAAAGTGCCTTTAGGTCGTGGCCTCTCATCTGACTCAGGTGTGGCTACCTCGCAAGCCTCGATGCAGTGAGAAGGCTGTGGTGCTGGGCCAGGCAGAGGTGCAAGGGTTCCAGGAAGCCCCAGGGTGCAGGTGTAGGACTCTGAAGCAGGCTTTGGGTCTGCTGGGTGTCACCCACTGCTGCTTTCTACCAGAGGGTGCGAGAGACAAGAGGGGAAAGGACCTTGGGCTTCTGAGAAGTCAGACTTGATGCGTATGTCCATCCTGAAATAATTTTCCTTCATCAAGCACATTGTGCTAGAGCGTCAAGCAAACACCACACCTGTCCCCAGCGCACACAAGCTCTGCAGATAGGGGTGTTTGAAGAGAATCAAAATCTGGCCCTTGATCTCCTCCCCTGAAGAGAGCAGAGTCTGTGAATAAAGACTTACCTGACCAGGAGTGGTGGTGCACACCTGTAACCCCTGCAGCTCAGGAGGCTGAGACAGGAGGATTGCAAGTTCAAAGCCAGCCTCAGCAACTTAGCAAGACCCTGTCTCAAAAAATAAAAAGGGGAAGTGGCTCAGTAGTTAATAAGTTTCTCTGGGTTCAATCCCCGGTACCAAAATAAAGAAAGGCCTGCCTGGCTTAGAAATACTGCCCAGGACATACCCCTCAAGTCTTGTCAGACTCAGCCAGGTCCCAGGCCTATCAAGCAGCTCTAGAGTAATCTAACCAGGATATTCTTGTGACTCTTATATGATAATGGGGTGGGGTGGTGCTTGCTAAAATGAAGGACTGCCCTGAAAGAGCTCACTCTCCCAAAAGGGGAAGGCAGATGCTTTTGAGCCCTTATATCCAAGGCAGCCACTGAATATGGAAAGAGGGGGATAGGAGGCCAGGAGCAGGTTGTCCCAACACAGAGGATGGTAGATTGTTTGCAAAGTGGCAACTGGGCTGGAGAACAATTCTGGAAGAACGTAGGAGATAGGATGTCCTGGTAACTTATGGGATGTGAGATAGGGGCAGGAGTATTAGAAAGAGAGGACATGAATTCCAAGCTGAGCTTAAAGATGGGCAGAAGCCTCTCCCAGGTGGAGCTGGAGTAGGACTTGGAGCAGGGACAGAGCGAAGGCCCAGGAGAGGTGGGACAGCCAAGCTCACTGATGGAACCCAGGGCTCAGGTCATGTGTGGGCAGTGAAAAGCAAAGAAGAGAATAGAAAGTTGGGTATAAGTGCTTTATTTATTCCCTGAAAATACCTTGCCATCTTGATTGAGCATCCCATTCCTTCACAAAGATTTTTTTAAAAACCTTTGGCCTAGATATTTATCATCATCTCTGATAGGTGCTGCAGTGTCTGTAGGCCCCAGTGGGTGATGGGTAAAGAGTGTTAAATAACAGAGCCTGTTTTCCAGTCATTTAGGCAGCCAGAGGAAAAAGACAAAAGCAACTCAGGGTCACAAGTCGGGGAACGACCCACAAATGATTCTAAGATTCATCAGCCCTTCAAGCTTTCTGCATTCTTCTGTGCACCAAGTCACAACTTCAGCTGCTGGGAATGAATGGGTGGGGGGATGGCCTTCCCAGAAGAGATAGTGCTTGATAAAGAGGGGATTGGTGTGAGAGTAATTGGGTGTATAAATAACTGCATCCTTTTCCTGACAGAGGGCCCCTCAGAGAGCATGGAGGAGGGAAAGTGGCCTCTTAAGGCAGAACAGAAGGTCTGAAGCCAGCTCACCCCTCCTTGGGTGGTATGAAGCAAAACACAATTTCTCTGGGTCTCAGTTTTGTCATAGATTAGATGGGTGCAATGTGCCCCTATCCAAGTCAATCTCTTCATACAGTCCAAATTAGATAATGGTCAAATGCTTATTAAAAAAAAAAAAGAGGTTGCCACTTTTTAAAAAATATTTATTTTTCAGTTGTAGTTGGACACAATACCTTTATTTCGTTTATTTTTTATGTGGTGCTGAGGATCGAACCCAGGGTCTTGCACATGCTAGGTGAGCACTCTACCGATGAGCCTTTTAACAAGGCCCACAACCCCTGAATATTGGCTATAAAATCAACAGCAGCTTTGGGAGTAGCAGACTCCACATCACTCAGTATGCCCTCTGGAATGGCTGTGGTGAAGTCAGTGAGTCCTTCCTAAGGGTGATGAGAAACAAAGCCTCACATGGCCAAACATCAGGTGTGCCACTGGTATCCGGCAGCTAATTTCGACTCCCTTCAGCTGAGCTACCTGAGCATAAGGGTTATCAGTTTGGCTTGATCTGGTTGAACGTGGATGTCTGCCTATTTCCCCATTTTGCCACGTGAAGAGCTGCACAATCCCAGAACAGGGTCACCACAGGCAAGCAGGTCTGCCATGCTCAGCATCTTCACAGGATTATCAGGACCATGGGGATATAGATTTCAAACTATGTTCAGTACAGTGGATCTCAGCCCTGGCTGCTCAGTGGAATCAACTCGGAAGTTTTTACAAATGCTGATGTTTTGGTCACACCTTAGACAAATGGAAACCAAATCTTTGCAGTCTGTATATAAACATTTCTAACATTCTCCTGGTGATTTCCAATATGCAGCCAGGGTTGGGAACTTCCTGGTTAATGAGTTCTTCTGCTACAATTTTTTGGAAGTCTGAAAACCATATTCTTATGACACCACAGTGACTCACTTCAGACCATGAGTGTTTACTATGTGCCAGACGCTGAGCATGTAAACATAAACAAGTCTTTTTTTTTACCCCCCATTGTAATGATCACATCTGTTTTACTTTGCTAGGTAAATTCAGGAGAGCAGGATTTGCATGAGTCAACTTCACAACTAGCAAGGCTCTCAACCCTGTCCAAAAGGATTCAGTGGGTAAACTTAGGTTTCTTCGGGTCATTATATAACACTCTCGGGAGACCTCAGATATTGCAATAAAAAGCCACAGAGAACAAAAATCATTTTTAAGAATTCCAAGGATGCTGGAGACAAGACCAACACACTCAGAAAGTAGATGCTCCTACACACCACCTACAGATCACTAGGAAATTCATTAGGAAAATCATTTCACTCAACAGTAGCAGCAGCCTCCTATATCTTTTTAACAGTTTCTGTATCAAAAGGTCATGTCAGGTGATGGGCCACATGCTATCTAGCCTTGCACAAGAACATTCTATGATGTTTGCATGACAAAATCAACTACTAACATGTTTCTCAGAATGGATTTCTCAGAATGTATTTCTGTAGTGAAATGACATGTGACTATACAGAGGTGTTCACCACAGTGAAGCTAGAAGCAGCCTTACAATCCATCCATTGCACATTGTTTGATCATAGCATTAATATACCCATGCAGCTGGGGCTGGGGTTGTGGCTCAGTGGTAGAGCAGTCGCCAGCACGGGTGAGGTCCTGGGTTCAATCCTCAGCACCCCATAAAAATAAATAAACAAAATAAAGGTATTGTGTCCAACTAAAAATAAATGAATATTTTTTAAAAAACATATCCATGCAGCTACTAAAAAGGAATGAGAAATCCAAAAGTCCAACCTAGAAAGAGTACCATGCTATTTTGTATAGAGGAAAAAAAGGAGCCCATAGAATAAAATCCAAACAACTAAAACCAAAACCAAAACCCAACACCAAGCCTATTTCTGGATATGCAGTGAAGAGTCTGGAAAGACACACACCACTTATAATCTTACTTATCTGTAGAGACTTTGTTCTTTTTGGTTTTTTATTTTTATTTTTTTTTAATATTCATTTTTTAGTTTTTGGCAGAAACAACATCTTTGTTTGTATGTGGTGCTGAGGATCGAACCCGGGCCGCACGCATGCCAGGCAAGCACGCTACCGCTTGAGCCACATCCCAGCCCTCTTTTTGTTTTTTTAATGTTTATTTTTTAGTTTTAGGTGGACATAATATCTTTTTTTTTTTATGTGGTGCTGAGGATTGAACCCAGTGCCTCACATGTGCTAGGCAAACACTCTACCACTTGAGCCACAACCCCAGGGACTTTGTTCTTTAGAGATGTCTGTATCATTTATTTTTTAAAACACCACTTTTGTTGACAATTCTTTTTTAAAAGGATAGTTGCCTGTCAACTGAGTAGTAATGAGTACACCCAGAGCCAGGGACCAGGCATCCTCAGAGAAACACATATTCCAGGGCTGAGTAATAAGTGGGTACAGGATGAGCCTGGGACATCTTAAATGTCAGAAATGACAAAAGGACTGCAAAAAAAAAACGTGAAAACACAGGAAGGAACTGAAGGGGCTCCCACTGTCCAGATCTGGGAGGATTTGAGGAAGCATGAGCACTGGACTGGAAAAATATCCTTTGGCAATCATCATGGTAAAGGCTGAAGCAGGGGCTGGGATGAGG